ACACTCCTTGAATTTTTACAAGCTTTTAGTTAATTTTCAGGGTTATGGAAATAATTGAGAGTTGCAATTTTTGCCAGTGTTCTAGTTGCTTTTACAAAGGAGTAGATATTTAGACGTCTTTGCCATTCTGTTGTACTTTCTCCCTTATAAGTATATGAAGGGCGTGATTAATAAAGTGTATATAAATTGAGACATAAAAAGCACACAAAGTTTAAAATGACTTTTTCCATTTAGATTGAAGGGGGCAGTACAAAATGAAGAGGATTTTGGACTTCAAACCCTCTACAAAAAGAGAACAGGCTTAGAAAATCACTCAGCTGTAAATAGGAGCTGTTTTATATATGAAAAGAAGAAGAACTCTAAAGGCAATACCAAGAGCTCAAGAGCCCAAGAACCCAGAGGGGAAAGTGAAGAGACACTCAGAACAATTTCCAAAGTGTTAAGAGAATAAAACCTAATTATAACTGGCAATATGAACCCAGATCGATTTCAGAATTACTATGGACCAGTGACTGCTACTGCCTCTTTATGAACTGAAGTATATAACTTATTCCTAACCCACCATTGTACGTTGGCTACGAGGGAAGAAGAACTCTTACCTCTTTAATTCACAGTTCTTTGGATCAAGAGGAACATATTAAAGTTTATCCTTAAAAACCACACCTGGGTATCCTCATTCACACATGGACCTGATTTAAGTTATAATACCTACTTTTCAAGCTGGTACCATAATGGGCTAAGCCTTAGGAGCCTTGAGGATCAGTGTATTTTGCATATGAGAGGGACATGAATTGTTGTGGACAGAGGGTGGACTGTGGCAAGTGGTATTTTTCAAAAATAATCAAAACGATATCTTTTATCCTACATGCATTTTTTTGTACAACATTACGTCATTACATGGTTTGGATCTGTGTCCCCACCCAAATCTCGTGTTAAATTGTAATCTGCAATGTTGGAGTTGGGCCTGATTCAGTCACCTCCCATCAGAGAGTAGATTCTGGTGGGGGTGAATCTTTCATGAGTTGTATAGCATCATCCCCTTGGCGCTGTCTTGTGATAGAGTTCTCATGATATCTGGTTGTTTAAAAGTGTATAGCACCTCCCCGCCCCAACTTGATCCTGCTCCTACCATGTAAGACACCTCCTGCTTTGCCTTCCACCATGAGTAAAAGCTACCTCAGGCCTCCCCAGAAGCAGATGCTGCCATGCCATGCTTACTGCACAGCCTATGAAACTATGAGCCAGTTAAACCTCTTTTCTTTATAAATTACCCAGTCTCAAGTAGCCCTTTATAACAGTGCAAGAATGGACTAATACAGAAAATTGGTACCAAGGAGTGGGGTACTGCTATAAACATACCCAAAAATGTGGAAGGAGCTTTGGAACTGGGTAATGGGCAGAGGTTGGAACAGTTCAGAGGGCTTAGAAGAAGACAGGAAGATGAAGGAAAGTTTGGAACTTCCTAGAGATTTGTTAATTTGTTGTGACCAAAATGCTGATAGTGATTTGGACAGTAAAGTACAGGCTGAGGAGGTCTCAGATAGAAATGAGGAACTTATTGGGAACTGGAATAAAGGTCACTTTTGCTATGCTTTAGCAAAGAACTTGGAGGCATTGCTCTAGGGATCTGCAGAACTTTGAACTTGAGAGTGATGACTTAGGGTATCTGGAAGAAGAAACTTCCAAGCAGCAAAGCGTTCAAGGTATGACCTGACTGTTTCTAACAACCTATGCTCATATGCATGAGCAAAGAAATAACCTAAAACTAAAACTTATATTTAAAAGGGAAGCAGAGCATAAAAGTTTGAAAATCTTGCAGCCTGGCCATGTGGTAAAAGAGGAAAACCCACTTACTGAGGAGAAACTCAAACTGGCTGCAGAAATTTGCATTAGTAAAGAGGTACCAAATGTTAATAGTCAAGACAATGGGAAAAATGCCTCAAAGGTATTTCAGAGACCTTCAAGGCAACCCCTCCCATCACAGGCCCAGATGCCTGGGAAAGAAAAATGATTTTGTGGGCTAGACCCAGAGCCCTGTTGCCCATTGTGGCCTTGGGACACTGCTGCCTGAATCCTAGCTGCTCCAACTCCAGCCGTGGCTCAAAGGGACCCAGGTACTGCTCAGGCCACTGCTCTAAAGGGTACAAGCCATAAGCTTTGGCAGTTTCCACACATGGTATTAAAGCCTGTGAGTGTGCGGAGTTCAAGAGCTGAGGCTTGGGAGCCTCCACCTAGATTTCAGAGGATGTCTGGAAAAGCCTGGATATCCAGACAAAAGCCTAATAGAGGGGTAGAGCCCTCATGGAGGAACTCTATTAGGGCAGTGCAGAGGAGAAATGTGGTGTTAAAACCCCCACACAGAGTCCCCAGTGGGGCACTGCCTAGTGGAGCTGTGAGAAGAGGGCCAAGGTCCTCCAGACCCCAGAATGGTAGACACAGCAACAGCTTGGACCCATTACCTGGAAAAGGTGCAGGTACTCAGCACCGGCCCATGAGAGCAGCCACAGGTCCTGGAAAGCCACAGAGGCAGAGTTGCCCAAGGCTTTGGGAAGCTACCTCTTATACCAGTGTGTCCTGAATATGAGATGTAAGGTCCAAGGAGATTATTTGAAGCTTTAAAATTTAATAACTGCCCTACTGGGTTTCAGATCTACACGGGGCCTGTAGCCCCTTTCTTTTAGCTGATTTCTACCTTTTGGAATGGGATTATTTACTCAATGCCTGTACCCCCATTTTATCTTGAAACAACTATCGTTTTTGATTTTACAGGCTCATAGAAAGAAGGGACCTGTCTTGTAGACTTTGAAATCTGGACTTTTGAGTAATCCTAGAAGGAGTTAAGACTTTGGGAGACTGTTGGGAAGGCATGATTGTATTTTGCAATGTGAGAAGGACATGAGATTTGGGAGAAGCCAGGGCAGAATAATATGGTTTGTATCTGTGTCCCTGCCCAAATCTCTTTTCAAATTGTAATCCACAATGTTGGAGGTGGGACCTGGTGGGAGGTAACTGGATCATTGGGGTGGGTCTTTCATGCATGGTTTAACATCATCTACTTGACTCTGTCTCATGGTAGAGTTCTCAGGAAATCTGGTTGTTTAAAAGTGTGTAGCACCTCCCCCAATCCCTTGCTCCTGCTCTTGCCATGTAAGGCTCCTGCTCCTGCTTTGCCTTCCACAATGAGTAAAACCTCCCTGAGGCCTCCCCAGAACCAGATATTGCCATGCTTCCTGTACAGTCTGTGGAACTATGAGCCAATTAAACATCTTTTCTTTATAAACTACCCAGTATTTCGTATTTCTTTATAGCAATGCAAGAACAGTCTGACACACCTTGATATTCTTCCCATTGAGTGCTGGTGTCTATGTCCCCTCCCCTTGAACATAGGTGGGCCTGGTGTCTGCCTCTGCCAATAAAATAAGAAAAAAAAAAACTGCAATTTTCAAGGATAAATTGTAAAAATTTCATGTGCTGCTGTCTTGTTCTTCAGGGGTATGTGCTCTTGGAACCCAGCCACTATGCTATGAAAAAATCCAAAATATTCCATGTAGAGAGACCATATGGAGAGTCTACATGTAGGTTGTCTTGCCAGCAGCTGAGTTGAGATAGGCAGTGTCAACCGCAAAACATGTGACTCCTTCTATCTCCAGATAATTGTAGACTGTAGCTGTTGAGACATCCCCCAACCTTCAAGTCTTCCCAGATGAGTCCCCAGGTGTTATAATGAAGACAAGCCATCTCTTTTATGCCCTGTCCAAATTTCTGGTTTCCCACAGAAACCACAAAGCATAAGTAATGATTGTTGTTGTTTTCAGCCACTAAACTTTGGGATTACTTGTTATGCAGCAATAGATAATTGAAACATACGCCTAAACAATATGGTTTAAAACTCTTATGCCTGGATCTTTGAGTTGCTTGATTTTTTGAACACCACTGCTATGAATATTCTTGCACATTTCCCCTAGCACACGTTAAGGGTGTCCTTTGACTATGTACTTAAGAGTAGAACTGCTGTTTACAAGATACTCAAATTTACAAGATAATGCTAATTGTTTTTTCAAAGACATTGTACTAAGTTACATTCCCTTCAACAAGGTGTAAGAAATTCTGTCACCTTAGGGCTCTCACATGGCTGTCCCTTCTGTCTGGAATGTTTTTCCCCTAGGCACCTGAACAAGTCACTTTCTCATGTCCTTCAAGTCTTTCTCGAATGCCACATTCTAAGTAAGGTACATCCTGAATGCGCCATTTAATTTAGAAATTACCCCACCATCACTGTCAGTTGTTCTTTTTCTCCTATATACTTCCCTTCTAGCATAAGATATAACTTATTTAATTATTACATTTACTGTCTATTTGCTGTCTCCTCCCTAAAGAATGTAAGCTATCATGCAACTGGTATTTTTATCTTCTTTGTTCATTGCTATATCCTGAGCACCTGAAGGAGAATCCAGTGTATCAACAAAAAGAGTCAAACTCTATAAAATCTTTGAAGAGATTTATTCTAAGCCAAATATGAGTGACCAATGGCCCGTGACACAGCCCTCAGGAGATCCTGAGAATATACACCCAAGGTGGTCAGGGTACAGCTTGGTTTTTATACATTTTAGGAAGACATGATACATTAATCAATACATGTAAGATGTATATTGGTTCAGTCCAGAAAGGTAGAACAACTGGATGTGGGGGGCTTCCAAATCACAGGCATATTCAGAGATTTTCTGATTGGCAATTGGTTATAATCAATAGAAAGGAACACCTGGGTTATAATAAGGGGTTGTGGAGATCAAGGTTTTATCATGCAGATGAAGTCTCCAAGTAGCAAGCTTGGGAGAGAATAGATTGTATCAGACTTAAAGAGTCTGTTCTATCAGTAATTCCAAAAGAAAGGATGGTATAATGAGGCATGTCTGGCTCCCTCTTTCCACCATGGCCTAAAACTAGTTTTTCAGGCTAAATTTGGAATGCTCTTGGTCAAGAGAAGGAGTCCATTTCGATGGTTGAGGGGGGTCATAGACTTTTATTTTTGGTTTACAAGTGCAAAGTAGGGTTCGAAATACATAAGTGACTGTCTACATTGTTTCCAATTCCCTATGTTAACAAGTTGTAATATTCGCCAATTGAATAGATATATGTTAATTTACTATTGTCTTTATTTTTCCATGATAACTAATGAGGTTGAATATCTCCTGATGTATTTATGCACCATACATATTTCTTTTTCTGTGAAACCCTTTGCTTATTGAGTTGTTTGATCTCTTTTTGTTGAATGATGGGAGTTCTTATATATAATATGAACTGAACCTTTGCAACTTACATGCATCCAAAACATTTTCTCCTAATATGCAACTTGTCTTTAAGATGTCAAATAAACAAATTCCTTATTGCAATGTAATCAATGTTATGGTGAATTTTGTGTGCATGCCTTGTTTAAGAATAAACTATTCTTCTTGTGTCAAAGCATCAAGGCTGGGGAGGCAGTCCTTTCTAAAACTTTTCTTTTAATTAAAACATTTTAAAACGTACTTTGTTGACCACAGAGGAATCTGTGCATGAAATCCCAGGTATTAAAAGGACCTCCGGGCCCCTCCAGAAAGACAAGCCCACCCATCCCAGACCCAGGGCCCTCTTCATGTCATTAAGCCTCCTCACCTTCTCCCCTCTAGCAATGTGATGAGAGACTACCCCATAAATCACTACTAAGAGCTGCCAGGTGGACAAGAGGTGGGGGGGAAGGAAACGCCCAAGGGAAAGGGGCTCCAGTTTAAAAATCCCAACTGCAGAAGTACCCCTCCCCCATCAAAGACCACAGGCAAGTCCCAACGGAGGATTCTAAGGGGCACTCAGAGAGTTGATATGTCGCAAAAAGGATGATAATGATGTGGTGGGGAAACGTAACGTACTAAGGAGAGCTCAGGCGAAAGCAGACAAGGCTGCCCTTTTGAGAAAGAGCTGCCCTTGCAGGTGGGACCGAGTAACTTCTATGCTTCTAAGACAGAAACATCCAATGTGACCCGTGCACATTGCACGGGTTCCTAGAAATGAGTAGAAAGCTAAGGACGGGCGTGGAAGGTGATGGCTCCTGTGAGCCCTGGGGCAATGAACAGCAATGTTCAGACCTTGGCGTTGTCACTAACTAAGCACAGCTTCCAGAGGCCTCCTCAGCTTCACAACCCAAGGACAAAGTTTATTTTTCCTTTATGGAGAAAAAAAAATGGGAAATTTCAAAACATAAACACCAGAGGCTCTCCCTGTCTATCTCCCTAAAATTAGCTAAGCTATCAGTGTATTACCTGCAGGGATTTCCCTTCAACAGGATGATTCATCGCATCTTATTTGAAGGGTTGAGACTCTGCCTCCAGTGAATGCTCAGTTTTGACACTCTCTGTCATTGCTGCTGGGAACAGAAGCAATAACCAGTTGCTGCTGCCAGGGCTCAGGGCTCCGATAAACGTCCTGCCTCAGGTCCTTGCTGCCCCTGGAAAGACAGCCCTGTGCTGAGTGCTAGACTGAGGGCCGAAAGAACTTATCCTGGTCCCGAAGAAGCCGAAACCCTGAACAGACCCATAAGAAGGTCTGAAGTTGAGGCAGCAATTAAGAGCTTACCACTCAAAAAAAGCCCAGGTCCAGACGGGTTCACAGCCGAATTCTACCAGACATACAAAGAGGAGCTGGTACCATTCCTTCTGAAACTATTCCAAACAATACAAAAAGAGGGAATTCTTCCCAAATCATTTTATGAGACCAACATCATCCTGATTCCAAAACCCGGCAGAGACTCAACAAGAAAAGAAAACTTCAGGCCAATATCCATGATGAACATAGATGCAAAAATCTTCAATAAAATACTGGCACGCCAATTGCAACAGCACAGCAAAAAGCTTATCCACCATGATCAAGTAGGCTTCATCCCGGGGATGCAAGGCTGGTTCAACATACGCAAGTCCATAAACGTAATTCACCACATAAACAGAACCAAAGACAAAAACCACATGATTATTTCAATTGATGCAGAGAAGGCCTTTGACAAAATTCAACAGCTCTTTATGCTAAAAACCCTCAATAAGCTAAGTATTGACGGAACGTATCTCAAAATAATAAACGCTATTTACGACAAACCAACAGCCAATATCATACTGAATGGGCAAAAACTGGAAGTATTCCCTTTGAAATCTGTCACTAGACAAGGATGCCTTCTCTCACCACTCCTATTCAATATAATACTAGAAGTTCTAGCCAGAGCAATCAGGCAACAAAAAGAAATAAAGGGTATTCAAATAGGAAAGGAGGAAGTCAAATTATCTCTATTTGCAGATGACATGATTGTATATCTAAAAGACCTCATCGTCTCAGCCCAAAGTCTCCTGAAACTGATAAGCAACTTCAGCAAAGCCTCAGGATACAAAATCAATGTGCAAAAATCACATGCATTCCTGTACACCAATAACAGACTTAAAGAGAGCCAAATCAAGAACGAATTGCCATTCACAATTGCTACAAAGAGAATAAAATACCTAGGAATACAACTAACAAGGAACGTAAAGGACCTCTTCAAGGAGAACTACAAGCCACTGCTCAACAAAATAAGAGAGGACACAAACAGATGGAAAAACATTCCATGTTCATGGTTAGGAAGAATCGATATTGTGAAAATGGCCATACTGCCCAAAGTAATTTACAGATTCAATGCTATCCCCATCAAGCTACCAATGACCTTATTCACAGAACTGGAAAAAAACCACCTTAAACTTCATATGGAACCAAAAGAGAGCCCACATAGCCAAGTCAATTCTAAGCAAAAAGAACAAAGCGGGAGGCATCACACTACCAGACTTCAAACTATGCTACAAGGCTACGGTAATCAAAACAGCATGGTACTGGTACCAAAACAGAGATGTAGACCAATGGAACAGAACAGAGGTCTCAGAGGCAACACAACATATCTACAACCATCTGATCTTTGACAAACCAGACAAAAACAAGCAATGGGGAAAGGATTCCCTGTTCAATAAATGGTGTTGGGAAAACTGGCTAGCCATGTGCAGAAAGCAGAAACTGGACCCCTTCCTGACACCTTACACTAAAATTAACTCCAGGTGGATTAAAGACTTAAACTTAAAACCTAAAACCATAAAAACCCTAGAAGAAAATCTAGGCAAAACCATTCAGGACATAGGGGTAGGCAAGGACTTCATGACCAAAACACCAAAAGCATTGACAACAAAAGCCAAAATAGACAAATGGGACCTAATCAAACTCCACAGCTTCTGCACGGCAAAAGAAACAGTCATTAGAGTGAATCGGCAACCAACAGAATGGGAAAAAAATTTTGCAGTTTACCCATCTGACAAAGGGCTGATATCCAGAATTTACTAAGAACTAAAACAGATTTACAAGAAAAAAACAAACAAGCCCATTCAAAAGTGGGCAAAAGATATGAACAGATACTTTACAAAAGAAGACATACATGAGGCCAACAAACATATGAAAAAATGCTCATAATCACTGGTCATCAGAGAAATGCAAATCAAAACTACATTGAGATACCATCTCACGCTAGTTCGAATGGCAATCATTAAAAAATCTGGAGACAACAGATGCTAGAGAGGATGTGGAGAAATAGGAACACTTTTACACTGTTGGTGGGAGTGTAAATTAGTTCAACCATTGTGGAAGACAGTGTGGCAATTCCTCAAGGACTTAGAAATAGAAATTCCATTTGACCCAGCAATCCCATTACTGGGTATATATCCAAAGAATTATAAATTGTTCTACTATAAGGACACGTGCACACGAATGTTCATTGCAGCACTGTTCACAATAGCAAAGACCTGGAACCAACCCAAATGCCCATCAATGATAGACTGGACAGGGAAAATGTGGCACATATACACCATGGAATACTATGCAGCCATCAAAAACGATGAGTTTGTGTCCTTTGTAGGGACATGGATGAACCTGGAAACCATCATCCTCAGCAAATTGACACAAGAGCAGAAGATCAAACACCGCATGTTCTCACTCACAGGCGGGTGTTGAACAATGAGAACACATGGACACAGGGAGGGGAGCACTACACACTGGGGCCAGTTGGGGGGAAATAGGGGAGGGACAGTGAGGGGTGGGGAGCTGGGGAGAGATAGCAAGGGGAGAGATGCCAGATGTAGGTGATGGGGAGGAAGGCAGCAAATCACACTGCCATGTGTGTACCTATGCAACAATCTTGCATGTTCTTCACATGTACCCCAAAACCTAAAATGCAATAAAATAAAAAATAAATGAAAAAAAAAAGAAAGAAAAAAAAAAAAGGAAAATTTACCTTAGTGAACACTTGATTAAAATAAAAAATAAATCCTTGGTAAACTGTAAAAAAAAAAAAAAAAAAAAAAAAGAACTTATCCAGGTCCCAGTTCTTCCCTTAATTTGATTGGTGTCTGGGCAGATCATTTCCCCTCAACTATATGAGGAGTTAGCCCTTTGTTCTGAGATGAAGCAAGAAATTGATAGGCCATCGGGCAGAGAGAACAGGGTTCAGGCCTGCCTGTCATCCCACACCATATGGGGCAGAAAGGGTAAAATGTTTTTCTGTGTCCAGCAAAATGATATGAAGTGCCCACAGGAAGCCCACCTTGCTCAGAGCGCATTCCACAGCCCAGCAGCTGTCACGGGGTATGTGATCCCAAGGAATTTCCTCTCAAGGCTCCCAGCCACCCACCAGCCCTGTGTCATTGCAGGTCCCTTGAGCAGGCAAATAGCACCAAGGTCCCTGTGGTCTTAGCCCTGATGGGAGCTATGTTGTTCACAAGGTGCTGAGCCTCTTGGCCCTAGTTCAAGCATCTGAGGTGTGGCAGTGAAAGGGGGGCCCAAGTCCTACCTTCAAGGAACTCCCAGTCTGAGGAAGGAATCATCCATTATGATTCTCCTAAAGAGTGAGGTTAAGTCCCTGCATCAGGCTGGAAGCCTCCCCAAGAAAGTTCAGAACATTCTTGAGTTCAGGGACGCCCCTTCTGATGGGGGAGACCAGAATAGGGTTGCCTGCCATGTTTACCGTATAAAAATACAGGACACCCAGTTCATTGTGAATACAAATTTAGCAAATAAAAATACAGGACACTCAGTTAAATCTGAACTTCAAATAAATGGGGAATCATTTTTTAGGATGAGGATAACGCATGCAATATTTGGGACATACTTAAAAAAAATGATTCCTTATCTATCTGAAATTCGAATTTAACTGGACATCTTGTATTTTATCTGGCAACCCTAGGACAAAACAAAGTCACAAGGCCCAAACCTAAGATAACATATGCGAGCAGGTAAAAAAAAGTCACAAACCGAGTCATAATGCTGATGGGGATGGAAAATAAAGGGTCACTCAATGTCTGCAGAGTGCTGCTGGGCCTGGCGGGCTGCCCAGGAGCGCACAGGCCACCTGGAAGGCCTCCGACTCCGCCACAGCTCTACGCTGCTGCTGGCTGCATCTCTGTGTAGGTGGCAGAGTCTGGGACCCTGGGAGGGCGTTCCAGGGGCTTGGTAGCCAGCTGTGTCCTCTCCAGCCAGAGCTGAGGCAAGGCCCACTATGGGACAGGATCGTGGCAGGACCCATGAGGGAGCAGGTGCTAAGACCTGCAGAGTGCACATGGGCGCCAGAGGAACGGCGTGCGCATTCAAAGGAGAGTGATGGGAAGTTTTCTTTCTTGCCAGGAAATAAACCTCGGTGATATTGCCGCTAAGGGTGCTGGTGACAGGGCGGCCTGAGAGCTAGGGAAACTGCAGAACAGGAAACCGGTGCAATCCAGAGCTCGAGCCCCACACTCCAAAGGGCTCAGCTCCCATGAAGCTGCAGGACAGAGGCTCAGAGCCAGGCTGTCTCATCCCAGAAGACTGGCGCCAAGAAGTCCTCAGACAGCACCTCACCCCACACACACGGATTCCCTAGCACCCAGCACGTGTGGCCCACACAAAGCAGCCAGAAGAGCCATGCTCCCAGTCAACGACTTTGTGTCATCTGACCACTGCTCTCCGCTAGCTCCACCAACTCCTGCATCCAAGCCAGAGCTTCCTCCTTGAATGTGGGACTGAGATGAAGGCTTCACAAAGGCAGTTTTCCAGAGACAGTTTTAGCAACTTGCTTAGGAAGACGACTCAGCTTCCATAGGCCCGAGGTTTGAGAACCGCCAACGCTAGCCAGTCACAGGCAGGAGGTTGAAGTCCAGGGAACTGTCTGGTGCCTCCTCTCCGTAGCACAGGTCTTCTTCCTCAGCCCTGGGCACCAGGCTCCTGCCCCTGCTGTCCTGCTGTAAGGAAGGCTGAGAACGTCCAAATGGCCCAGAACATTCAGAGTCAGGCCAGCTCTCACCACTACTGAGAGGAGACCAGTGCAGACTGCTTTGAGGAGCTTGAGGAGGATGGGGGGCGGCCCTAACAGCAAGAATTACCACTGCTATTCTCACTAGTCACCCAGTTCTAGCTGCATGTCCGGCAGTGCTAAGCACTCCAGACACTGTCTCATTTAACGCAGAAACAGCCCTGTGCAGTGGGTACGGTTGACTTCGTTTTACAGACAGAGACTTGGAGCCACAGGTATCTACCAGTCTGGACAGTTAACACCCAGGACAGCTCAGGGATACAGACCAGTGAGACTAGCCCATCTCAGACTTTGGAAGTCATCATCCATTGGAGTTAAATCCCTGATTCTTGGGAGCATGGTAAAAGATTCCCAAGGTACCAGACCCTGCCACCTACAATGGGATGCAGCCAGCAGCACCGTGGGGCTAGGGCAGAGTCTGAGGCGTTCCAGATGACCTGTGCTCTCCTGGGCAACCCGCCAGGCCCAGCAGCACCCTGCGAACGTTGAGTGACCCTTTATTTTCTGTCCCCATCAGCATTATGATGGTTTGCGAGCCAGGCTCCAAGTACGTGCAAATCTGCTGCCTGACAGCAGGGGGCGCCAATGTCTGAGAAAAATCTACCTGCCGCAGAAAATCCAGACAGCTGGTGAAGAGGAATGTAAATGTCCAAGGGAAAGGGTGGGCAAATGATGATCTCTTGGGCTTGACAGGCCCCAGGAAAGAAATTCAAAACAAAACTGGCCTGTGGTGCGGACTCTCAGCCCCAGATTTAGTGAGCGTTAGATCCCAGGTTATTGAGCCTCTTTATCGGCATCCCAGAGCTCAGCAATGTTCCTTGGGGAAAACCTGCCTTACCTTTAGGGCTTCTCTGGTTTCTAATCTGTCATGCCAGCCCCGAGAGACTGCCACGACCTCTGTTTTCTCTCTCCCTCCTCAGAGCCTCTGCTGGCTTAGGTCAAGCCCTCACCCAAGCTCAGAAGAGGCAAATGCCCCCAGGGAAGAAAGTGAGGCAGGATCTACAGGCCCCGGAAAACTGCTTCCTTCTCTCGTTCGGTTGTCCTGCTCCTTGCTTCCATGGCTCTCCATTGTCTTTAAATGTGGGATTTTCACAATTGATCCAGTTTTCCTTATTATTGCGGTAGTAGCAGTTGGGGCCTGTTGCAGCTTTCTGGATCCTAACCAGGGGCAACAGTGCAGGTTCTCTCCACACTTCTGTTTCCTCGTTTGCGAAATGACGATATGTCAACATTAAGTGAGGGGAAGTAGTGTCTCGGCCTGGTTAGTGCCCAGAGGGCTTAGTATAGTGTAACCTGTGCTCTTCCCTGGAAAGGATGTGCAGGGTAAGGGCAGCCGTGTGGACCCTGGAGAACAGCACTGCCCGTGGAGTCAGTAGTTTGTACTTGAATCCCAGCTCCCCAATTTGTAATCTGTGTAACCTTGAATACGTCGCTTAACCTCTTCTAGCCTTTTTCTCCTCAGTCAAATGAGGAAAACGAATGTCAATTTCATAATACCGCAAGGATCCATGGAAGCAGCACATGCAAAGCCCTTAGCTCCATGCCTGGCTCTTGGTAGGTGCTCGGGGTACCTAGTAACACATCTTATTTCACTCTCCACCTGAAATAAGGGCGGCTACACTAAAGCACTGCAGCATTTGGAGAGTGCCTACCAGAAACCAACTCTTATAATGAATATCAGAAAGGTATCATCTCGGTACACTCCGGCTCACAACAAAATACCGTAAACTGTGTAGCTTTTCAACAACAGAAATTTATTTCTCAAAGTTCTGGAGGCTGGAAAGTCCAAGATCAAGGAGCTGGCAGATTGGATGTCTGGTGAGGGACTGCTTTCTGGTTCATAGATGGTGCCTTCTGTGTCCTCGCGCGGTGGAAAGGGAAGGGGTTTTCTCTCAGACCTCTCTTCTGTGGGCACTCATCCATTCATGAGGGCTCCACCTCGTAACCTAAAAACCCCCCAAAGACCCCATCTCCTAATACTAGCAACTTGGGGGTTTAGATGTTAACATATGAATTTTTTGGGGGGGGAACACAAACATTCAGACCACAGCAGCTATAAAGTAATGATAAATACTTTTTACATTATATATTAATTTAGCAACTGTCTGAAGCGCCTTGACATGCTTTATCTCTTTGCATTCACAGGTTCAACCAACCGCGAATCTAAAATATTTTCTTTTAAAAAATGAATGCACCTATACCGAACATTTTTTCTTGCTGTTATTTCCTAAGCAATACAGCACAACAATTATTTACATAACATTTACATTATATTAGGTTTTCTAAGTAATCTAAAGATTATTTGAAGTACACGTGAGGATGTGTATAAGTTATATGCACATACTACACCATTTTACATAAGGGACTTGGGCATCCGTGGATTGGGGCATCTGTGGGCAACCCTGTAACCACTCCACATGGACAACAAGGGACAGCTCTATTTAGCCAAACAGGTATCATCCCCATTTTAAACATGAGGAAATTAAGTTTCAGTGAAATTAAATGAATTAGCCAAAGTCCACCCAGCTGTAACGGGGTAGAACCAGGAAAAGAGTTAGCCTTCATTCCCCTAGTTCCTGCTTTCAAGGATATAATCATTCTGTCACAAAATAGGCCTCAGTAGGAGAATATAATCAAGTGGTAAGAGGTGGGCATTAAACAGGAGTACCATAGAAGGCCAGAGAAAGGAGAACTGTAGGAAAACATGTTGGCAAAGATCATGTTTATGGGTTCTATCAAACTATGCCAGTCATCAAATCCTAGTGCAGAACACAGCCCTAAAGGGAACAGAGGAAGCTCAGAAATCTCACTGTGAGAAGAAGGCTGGGAACACAGGTTCATCTCTCAGGTGGTCTGACAAGGTCAGACTGCACTTTTTAAAACGTATTCATTCCACAAAATGTTTGGTTGGGTACACAGGGCATAAAGATGGGAACAACAGACACTGTGGACTTCAAAAACAAGAGGGGGAGGCGGGGAGAAAGGCTCTAAAAACTACCTATTGGGTACTATGTTCACTATTTGGGTGACAAGGTCAACTGAAGCCCAGACCTCACTATCACACAATATATCCACGTAACAACCTGCACACACACCTCTGAACCTATAATTCAAAAATTTAAAAGACGTCTTGGGCTTTTCTTATGTACATCTGTGTCAAACACCAGAATATAATCATGGACAAAAACATAGTTCCTGTCCTCAGAAGCTTATACTCTACTGAGGGAGATAAGCAATAATCAAATAATCCACATGTAGATATCCCACCACAAATTGAGGTGAGTGCCATGATGCTTTAGGAAAGCCCCTAACCTAATCAACCCCGCCAAGGATATGGGGTGGGCGTGGGAAGACAGATTCAAGAGCACTGCAGGCAGAAGGGAGTGGCTGGGAAACCCCTGTGGAGAGACAGCAGGGAGCACCCAAAGAGATGAGAGAAGGTAAGGGATGAAATAGACAGTGAAGGTGATGTCAGGGTGGGAGGGTGGGCAGAGAGGTCCCCATGGTACAGACCGCCAGACAGGGCCTTGCAGATTGGGGCTAAGACTTGGGTCTTATTCTAATAGAAATGTGAAGCCATTTGCTGTCATCTGAATGTTTGTGTTTCCTCGAAATTCACATGTTGAAAACTAATCTCAATGTGATGGTATTTGGGGGGGGCTTTTGGGGGTTGATTAGATCTTGAGAGTTCTGGGTTGTGATGGGATTAGTGCCCTCATTAAAAGAGGCCCTGAGGCCTCCTCTGTCCCTTCCTCCACAGGAGGACACAGCAATAAGACCACCATCGGTGAACCAGGAGGCAGACCTTCACTACGTGGTAAATCTGCCAGCACCTTGATCTTGGACTTTCCAGCCTCCAGAACCATAAGAAATAAATGTCTGCTTTTTTATAAGGCACCGACTGTATGGTATATTTTTATAGCAGTCCAAATGGACTGACACCACTAAAGAGCTTTCAGTTGGGGAGAAGCCTCGAAGATGCCTAAGAAAGGGAGTAGAGGATGGATTTCTCAAGTTTCTTTGATGATAAGCAATAGTAACCAAGTCTGGTTTACTTCAGGGGAAAAGAAACTGATTTAGTGCAAGAAGATGTAGCATCAGTGGAAAGGCTGAACAACTGGGCCCTGAGATGGATGGGAAGAAAAAGGTGCCGCAGATCCAGGTGGTGGGGACTGAGACACACCACCTCAGGACAAGTGGGCTCCAGCCATGCTTGAGCCTGTCATCTTCTCAGAATTCAACTTCCACAGACCCCACCTGGGCCACATGCTCACTTCTTGCCAGAAGACAACACACCTAGACTGACAGCTTCTGAGGGGGAGGGGTGCTCCCCACAGGAAAATTGCAAAGAAGTGAGGAGGGATTCCGGAAAAACGAACAAAATCCGTAAGATATCTACTCCAGGGTTCAAAGGAAAGGTGGGAGGATCATCAAGGACAAACTGGATTTACCTGTGGTTTTGCCTAGGAAGCAATTCTTTCAGGCACCATCCTGCCAAGCGGCAAGCCACGTGGAGGCTTGGGAGATGGGAAGTAGACAGGCTGCTCGACGGCGCCTCAAATAAGGTCACATGCCATAGAGCCCTTCCCCAGGCCTCACTCTGACTCCTCTGCAGCCTTCAGAGATAAGGCATCACTCAACACATAAGCCACCAAACATAGTAAGAGGTGGCAGAGGACTGAGAAGGAATGTATTTATTCCACCAATAAGTATGTCTAAGTCTATTCATCTAAGGCTGAAGGCTGGCCTCGAAGTGTTCCCTTCCTTGGGAAAATGAAGGAAGGGATAAGTGTTATCTATAGCAAGATTCTGGATGTTAAAATGTCAGCAAAACAAGTCCATAGGATCTGCCAGCAGAAAGCATCCAAGGCTTTAAGCAGAAAGCATCCAAGAGGGACCAGAGCCACTTCTCCTGCTCCAAGAGATGCA